CAAAGAAATATCTGAAACATGTGTCGGGCATTTGTATTCAGCCCCCCCCGTAGTCAGTTCAACCAGGTGAAAACAAAGGAAGAAAAGCAAAAGAAAGGGAAAAACTTGATATCTAACAGCAAAAGTAAATGTAAGCAGAGGACACGCCCCCTGTTATGCGCCCCCCACACACACACTTCGCCTGAAACTGCCCTACCTCAAACTCAACCAATGCCCTACTAACCGCCACAGAATACAATGGCCACTATACTGTACTCCTACTACTTGACCTCTCTGCGGCTTTTGACACGGTTGAACCACCCCTCCTCCTCAAACTAACTCCACTCTCTTGGTCTCAGAGACTCCGCTCTCTCCTGGTTTCTTCTCCTACCTATCACAGCGCTCCTTCAGTGTTACCTATAACACTGCCACCTCCCCTTCACTCCCTCTCTCTGTAGGGTCCCTCAAGGTTCTGGTCCTCAGGACCCCTTCTCTTCTCCATCTACACCTCCTCCCTTGGCCAATTGATAAACTCCCACGGCTTCAACTACCATCTCTATTCCGACGACACATAAATCTATCTGTCTACCCCTCGCCTCACCCCCTCAGTCTCTGATCGCATCACCAGCCTACTAAGTGACATATCGGACTGGATGTCACTCCACTTCCTCAAACTCAACCTTTCCAAAACAAACATACATACCATTTTGATGTGTTTTATAAACAACTATATTTTATTCTTTTTATTTATTTTTACGTTTTTATTATCCCATTGCCTTATTACCAATTTTTTTTTATCATAGTTTTTGTCAATTTTATTAAATTTTTTATCCCCTTTTAATTTTATATGATTCGACTATTTTAAATAACTAAATCACAAACCCCAGCGCACAAAAAAAATGGATCTTAATGAAATTAAGGTAACGGTATGCTGCTGTGCAACAGTGTAAAACACCATTTAATAAAGAAAAATACATAAACAGCGCAAAACACAAACCTCTTCACCATAAATTGACATTTATCAACATCTAAAGTGTTCGTAAATAATTGTGTCATGAATAAATAAATGGAAAAAGTCCTTCTCCCAAAGGTGTATAATAAATACAACAAACAAATCTTCTCCCAAAGAAATTGTGCTTCCACCATCCACCAGTGAAAAATCAACATCAACCGCACTCACCAGATATTGGTGAGTATTGCGCCTTTTAGGATTTTAGGGAGCCTATCAGGGTGGATAAAAATCAATGATTTTTTTTTTTTAAAAATCAAAAAAATGATTTTTTTTTATTTAAATCGGATTTTTTTTATTTAAATCAGATTTTTTTTAAATAAAATGCTTTTTGAGGAAAATATATTACCATCCAAAGGTTATTCCATCATGAAATAAAGATTCATTTTTTAATTATGTAGAATAAGGCTGTAATATGTTTAATTGTTTTGGTAAATAAATTCCATGAATCCATTCACAATGTCATGCTCTTCCAGAGGTTTTTGTAAGATTATTGGGCAGTTTCTCTGCCTACAAGATATTATCACAGATGATTGGTTTACTTTTTGCAGTTCTCAAAACTGAATTTGACTCAGCGGAGATCACATGCCTCTTCTTCACAGCAAAAATGTTATAACATGAACAGAGTTAAGAAAAAGACCTTCATCCTAACTTCTACAAACCTATGAATACAGAATCAACCCCTTCACTGCTAAGTTTCGAGAAGTTCAGTGAATAGAATAGAAACAATATTTTTCTGATTGTTTGGAGTGGAATAGATCTGCACAAGAATAAAGTGAAACTAAGTGTGAGGAGGAAGGGGCTGACAGTCTAAGTTTCTTAAAAATATATAGATTTTGTTTAGCCAAATTAGTGACCAAACATGGATGTTTAAGCAAATCACATATGCTGGAATGTTATTGTTTCAGTTGAATAAATCTATTTAAATTGTTATTATTAAGGGAATGATTATTTTTCTCCTTCCTAAGTACAACAGAAAAGTTGTCCCAAATATGAATGATTAACCTATTAAACTGGGGGATAAAAAACTAATATGAAAAGTTATTCTAAAAATCTTCATCTACTTACATATTAAAGTTATACCAGCAAGAATTAGTCTTTATGTAGAAAAATTAGGATTTAAATCAAACCTTACTGACTAGAGATTTAAATCGTGATTTAAATCAGTTTGATTTAAATCAAATCCACCCTGGATCCTATGCCCCCTCTAAATTTTCCAGAACTCTTTATCCACCTTGAATGATATGATGCTCTCCTCCAACTCACTCCTTCAAGAGCTCCCCAGCAGTGCAAGAAAAAGAAATACCATAGTGTAATACTGCCAGTAACATTCAATAAAGTAAAAGTAATACCAGGCCACTCACATGTTCAAGGAAAGTTAAAAGCATTTGTTTATTAGCCTCATTGGCTCACACATATCTTCATATTCACAGTAATAGCAGGAACCTCATAAACTTGTGGTTTTGCAGAGAATGACCATGTATTCCAACCTCAAAGATGGTATTTTTAAGCACCACCATTTATGCCCAAAATAACAAAAAAAAAAAAAACAAAAAAAAAAAAAAAATAAAAAAAAAAAAAAAAAAAAAAAAAAAATAAAAAAAAAATAAAAAAATAAAAAAAAAAAAAAAAAAAGAAAATAAATATAAAAAAAAAAAATAAAATACAATTAATTATAACTACTTGGATTCCTCAATCATTATCCGACAGTTTTTGACTATTAGCCTAAGCTTGACCCCCTCTGTGTGAGTGTAGTATCCCCCCCCCCCCCCCCGCTCTTGCTGTATCTTATCTGTAGCCTTTTTTTTTCTCTCTTCTCATCCCTTCTAACATTCTGATTAAACTTTGTGATTTGTAATAGTACTGTTTGGACTTTAAAGAATGTTAGTGCAAATAAAAAAAAGTATCACGGACAGTACTGAATTGTAATATGTTCTCCCTAATCTTACAGATAATTTCCTGGTGGTTCTCCCTATGTACTGGAAATTACAGGAACACTCCAGCAAATACCTAACATGGGTACTATCACACGATATAAACTTTTTAATTTTATATGATGAACCATTAGAACATGATTGAAAGCTGTCATAGTATCTATTGTTATCACCTTTCAGATGTCCCCAATTGGTAAATCCACTTCGTTTCATTTTGTGATATATTTTTAACCATATCAGCCCCTCTCCACGGAGCATCAATCCTATCTATTCCACAGAATCTTAATCACTTGCCTACCGGGCACTTATACCCCCTTCCTGTCCAGGCCAATTTCCAGCTTTCAGCGCTGTCGCACTTTGAATGACAATTGCGTGGTCATGCAACACTGTACCCATATGAATTTTTTATCATTTTTTTTGAGACAGATAGAGCTTTCTTTTGGTGGTATTTAATCACCTCTGGGATTTTTATTTTTTCTGAAACAAACCAAAAACCACTGAAAATTTTGGAGAAAAAAAGTTTTTTCTTAGTTTTTGTTATACAATTTTGTAAATAGGTGATTTTTCTCCTTCACTGATATGCGCTAATGAGGCTGCACTGATGGGCACTGATAGGCTGCACTGATGGACACTGATAGGTGACACTGATGGGCACTGATGAGGAGGCACTGCTAGGTTGCACTGATGGGCATTGAGAGGCATCACTGATGGGCGCTGGAAGGCAGCACTGATACATGACACTGATATATGGCACTGATAGGCGGCACTGATAGGCAGCACTGACTGGCACTGATAGGCGGCACTGAATGGCACTGATAGGCGGCACTGACTGGCACTGATAAGTGGCACTGACTGGCACTGATAGGCAGCACTGATAGGCAGCACTGATGCGCACTGATAGGCGGCACTGATGCGCACTGATAGGCGGCACTGACTGGCACTGATAGGTGGCACTGATTGGCAGCACTGATAGGTGGCACAGACTGGCACTGATGGGTGACATTGAAAGGCAGCTCAGATGGGCACTGATATGTGGCATTGATGGGCACTGGCATGTGGCACTGATGAGCACTGACTGCTGGCACTGACGGACACTGACGGACACTGATAGTAGCACTTCTGGGCCACACTGATCATCAGGGCACACTGATCATTAGTGCTCTGATGATCAGTGTACATGTCCCCTGCACGGAAAGCCAATTACCGGCTCTCCTCTCCTCTGTCAGCGTGACAGCTCGAGAGGAGAGAAATTCCGATAACCGGCATTTCCGTGTTTACATGTGATCAGCTGTGACTGGACACAGCTGATCACATGACCGAGCCAACATCTTTGGCTCAGCAGATCGAGCCAACATGATCTGTTGTGTCCGCGCACCGGCGATTGCTGCGCTGCTCGCTCCGAGCCGCGAATGCGCGGTGAGAATGGAAGGACGTCATATGACATCCTATCAGAACGAGAGAACCACCTTGCGCCCGTCATTGTACTATATGGCGGGCGGAAGGTGGTTAAAGATGTTGGGTCCCTATTATGGCACCCTCTAAAATGGTGTGGCAAACTGTGATATTTAAACCCTTTTTTAATATTCCTAATATGTTCTCCTAATCTTACAGATAATTTCCTGGTGGTTCTCCCTATGTACTGGAAGTTACAAGAACACTCCAGCAAATACGTAACATGGTACTATCACACAATATAAACTTTTTAATTTTATATGATGAACCATTAGAACATGATTGAAAGCTGTCATAGTTTCTATTGTTATCACCTTTCAGATGTTTACAGCTGTACATCGTTTACATTTGAAGAACCCCACCCTATCCAAAAAGGTTACCTTCTTACTAGGTATATCAAGGACTTTTTTAACTAGTCTATTTCTTAATGTTGGTGGCTTCCTGTAGATAAACATGGGCCTCCTTGGAAGTATTTTATTTAGGACCTCATCTCTTTTTAGAATCGGCAAATACTTTTTAATAATCCTTTCCACTAATTTAAATTGACTCCAATAACCCGTTACAAAGGTCAAATCCCCTACTTTCCTATCTTTGTTTTGTTGTTTTACTAGCAGGTCTTCCGTTATACTGTAATTTTGTTAACCTGTTCCAAAGAGCATGCTAGAACCTGTTCTTTATACCCCTTCTCTCTAAACCTGTTTAGCAACATCTCTGATTGACTCTGAAATATGCTATCATCATCACAATTACACTTCAATCTGATAAGCTGACTCTAGGAATGAACTTTAACCAATTTCTGTGATGGCAAGCTATGACTCGGAATGTAACCATTCCTGTCAACCTCCTTGAAATGCGTTTTTGTACAAAATGTGTCACCTTGTTTTATACACCGTAAGATCTAAGAAATCTATTGCTTGTTCACTGATATTATTGGTGAATTATATGTTTAAGAGGTTATTCCCCATTTTACTCTATAAATTGTTCCAATCCTTCTCTCGTGCCCTTCCATATAATGATGATGTCATCTATAAACCTCCTATATACTAGCACTTCCTGGTTCCTATTTTCAAAAATGGGATTACTTTCCCACATACTCATAAACAAGTTCGCCACTGACGGCGCATATTTGGCTCCCATGGCAACACCCATGGCTTGCCTATAAAATTTATTGGAATGCCAGAAGAAGTTTGTGTCATAGCTAAATCAAGACTCTTGAAAATGAAATCTATTTGTTCAGATCTCAATCCTGATTTTGTCTCCAGTGCCCATTTAACTGATTCAAGTGCATCACCGTGTCTTATGTTTGTATAACAAAGAATTTACATCAACACTTGCCATGATACAATCTCCTTCCTCTCTAATATTCTTAAGTAAGTTAATTAAATCACCACTGTCCCTTAAATATGCAGGAAAAATAGAACCAGGGCTGCAAAAATGTATCTACATACTCCCCCAATCTGGAAAACAGGGAATCAATCCTGCTAATAATGGGTCTTCCAGGTGGTTTTTGCAAATTTTTATGAATTTTAGGAAGTTGATAAATGTCCCGCACTCTTGGAGCATTAGGTACCAAATATTTACCTTCCTTTTTGTTAAGTATTCCTACCCTTTCTCCTTCTTTGATATGTTTGACTAGTTTCGCTTTATATTTTTTTGTGGGGTTATTCTTCAACATTTCAGGTATTGACATCATCTACTAATCTATTCAACTCTGCATAGTAATTATATTTATTCAACACCACAACCCCTCCCCCCTTATCTGCTGGTCTAATTACAATATTTTTAATTTTCTCTAATTTTTGAAGTACCCTTTATATATCCTTTTGTTTCTTAACCTAGGAATGGATCTTTTCTCCACATCATATTCCACCATTTTTTTTAATGTGTCAACACAACAATTATTACCTATCTTGGGATTAAATATCAATTTATTTCTCAGTTTAGTGTGTAAATAAGGATCTTCAGTTTCTATCCCCATATTTTTACCTAAATGAAAACATGGGTCATCACTCCTTGTGTCCAAAACTGGTCCGACATCACTAGTGCCTTTATTCATCTTATTACTCCAATATTTCTTGAGATTGAGTTTCTTGAGTTTTCTAATGAATTTGTGTAGATCAATATATGTTTCTAGTTTATTCAACTTCTTATGCGGTGCAAATTTCAAACCAAATGATAAAACTTTCAATTCCTCTTCATTTAAAATACAATCACTAAGGTTAAAAATTACTTGATTTACATCGAACTTTTTCTTTTTCCTCTGCCCCCCCTCTGCACTCTCTCCTTCTACCTCTCACCAATAGGGGTCCTGATAAACCATAGGTGGTCTCCAACCTCCCCTTCCCTTTCTGGGGGGGGTGGTAACGTCCCCCTCTTCCCCCATATGGACAGAACCTCTTGCTCCTCCCCCTCTCCATGGGGGGTCATCCATATCCTCCCCTTGGAAAATCCTCTCCCTCTGTTTTATAACCATATCCCCCTAGGGGATGACATACCCCAATTTTTCAGGGGTTCAAATCTATTCTTCATGGGTATTTTATAACTAGGTGTATTTTCTCTGTATGTATATTTAATAGGAGATGAATTGATCTTCCTATTCGGGGATTAGTACTAGAATTTTGTTTAGTTTTAGATGGAGATGATTTCTTATTTGAATCATCAGTTCCTCCTTCTATTGAGGAATTACTCAAATCATTGGTGCCCCTAGTGTCATCCTCCTGCCATTTACATACATTAATGGATTTATAATCCTGCATATCTCTACAATATTTTTTGATTTTTTTCTTCTATGTATCCTCATCTAATTTATTAATATATTCCTGAACCTGTTTGGCATTTTCTTTGAATTCACTAGACTCACTAAAAGGTTGCATTTTATCTATCAAATTATGGATTTTATCCTCCAAAATTCTCAATTTTCTCTTCCTTCTTTGCACAATTAGTTCCATTAACTTCTTTTCAACATGGTTTAAAAAAAGGAAATCATTCTTCATCCAACTCTTTCCCTATTAGTCCATCACTAGGACCCAAATCCCACCTTAACCTTCTAGGTGTGATCCCTTCCTTGATGTACTTTTCAAGAGTTAAGACATCCCACCATGACCTCACTTGTTTATCCAGTGAGTTCTAAAGATGTCTAAAATCTTTGGTAAGATCTAAACGCTCAAAATTTTGTGAAAAAATATCTTCCACATTAACCTTTTTCTGGGATACAAAGTTAAATATATCCATGGCTGCTAGGTCAAATAAAGAAAGTAATAAACCTCCTTAAAATAAATAAATAAATCACAAACCCCAGCGCACAAAGAGAATGGTATTAAATGAAATTAAGGTAACGGTATGCTGCTGTGCAACATTGTAAAACACCAATTAATAAAGAAAGATATTTTTCTTTATTGATTGGTGTTTTACACTGTTGCACAGCAGCATACCGTTACCTTAATTTCATTTAGTACCATTCTCTTTGTGCACTGGGGTTTGTGATTTATTTATAAATTCACACTTGTCTGGACATCATCTCGCCACAAACCCAGTAATTAACCCCCAGTAATAGCATGGCTACCTGTAATGCATTCTAACAATTCCTAAGTGCACTAGTAGGGGGCAGTGGACATTGCACATATTACTCTACATCAGATAGACCTCCCTAAGTTTATACCCTCATGTACATCTCCACTTGTGCACTACTATGGACATCCTCATAAAGCTTTTCGTCAACAAAATTGTTTCCACTGTGTTCCTGAAGGTTATAAATCTGAGGATATAAACAGGAATAGGCAGTTCTGTTATGAAAACATTTTGAAGAATGTCTATAGGAGTGCACAAGAGGAGACTTACCATCATCCTATTTTTTTTTCTAAGATCAGTTATAAATTCGGGGGGGGGGGGGGGGGGGTCTATTTGATGTGGAGTATATGTGGAATTTTCACTACCCCTTCTGGTATACTTAAGAATTGTTTATTAGAACTCATTTTAAGTAGCCATGCTGTTACTGGGAAACAATTACTGGGATTGTGGTGAGATGATGTCCGAACAAGTGTGAATGCATGGCATACCTTTCCTCAGGATTCAGTGGTTCTACCGGGGTCATGGCTGCAGCTGCAGTAATGATCCTGGTATCTTTTTATAGAGCTGGCAATGTAAACAGAGCAGCTATACAGTCGCAGGATTACTTTTGCATGTGGCGGAATGTGGTCCCACCCACCGCCCACCACCTCCTCTCGCCACCTTTCCAGACTATGCCATCCCACCAGGGAGCCCAGGAATGAAACTGGCAGTCGAGGAGGCAAACCATATTGATGGAGGATCTTGTGTTCCCTTATCTCTATGGTGTAAGCTGCAGTTTAATATTTACAAGCCATCACTGGCTTGTACAGCATCCGATCAAACAATCTCAGTTTGAACAGATGGTTTTGAGGGCAGTGGAGAGATGTGGGGTCCCTTAGACCCCAGATGTCTCAGTAAAGAGTACCTGTCACTGCTGATATGACATAACAGCTGACACTCCTGTACTGGGCACAGGCACCATCAGTTTAGAAGAAGGTGGGCCCGGGATCCTGCTTAGCAGGGGTAATGGCTGTGCTTCCTCATTGCCAACTCTTGTGGCTCCCCCGGCAGTGCTGCCGGATTCTCCTCCTTTTTCTCCCCTCGTCTGTGCTGCAGGGAGATCGGTATCTATGTCCCCACCCTCCTGTTGTCCATGCCCCCATGTGCCCCCCTTCTCTGCAGCTCCTTCCGACTTCACTCTTTTCTCCCGTCAGCAGCTGCAGGGCACACGGGGATTTTTTCAGGATGGAGAGAGGGGGGGGGGGCCCATAAATATCTTTACCAGCCCCTTCCCTTCCAATGAACACAGTGAGCATTTGTACTGATCGCTCTTTTGTCCATTCACCACTGGAGCTTAGTGAACTATGTTTACTAAACTTTAGTTTTTGAATGAACAGGAAACCATTAAGCATAGAGCACTTACTATTCATTCAGTGTCCAGTGCAGCTGAGGCTACAGAGAAAGGGATTGACGAATCTCTGTCCTTGGTCCCTTTCTCTGTCTCAAATGTGAGATATCAGGGGTCTTTTTAGATATTTCACCAAAGGCCCACCAACAGGGCAGTTAAAAAATGTAAATAAAAAAATAAAATGAAGAATTTGTTCAATAGTGAAGAGCAGTCAGCATTTGAATCACTCTTCAGGGAGCATTTGACAGGCGGTGAAGAGGCTTTAACCCGGCACTAGCTCACCGCGGAGCGCTTACAGAGCAGTGTTACTCACCTAAATGGGTTTTGTTCGATGGGGACAAAAAATACCTTGAGCAAAGTTTTCAGACATTTGTCAGCTGCATCCTTAAAGTAGAACTCCACTTAAAAGTGAAAATTCCCCTTTTCCTCCCTCCACTGTAACGATATTGCTATTTTTTTTTTTCTGGGAGCAGGTACCTTTTTCTGACAGGTACCCACTACCACTTCCGCAATTCTCACCTAGGCGAGAATTATGGATTCTTTATAGTGTGTGAAATACCTACAGCGCAATAAATACCTATCTACCTAATATTGCAGCTAACATGTATAGTGTTCCAGCATTCAAATAATATTTTACAAAAAAAATGCAACGCAATATTGTAATCACAAATATGATTAAATATATCAACAAAATTGTGAATAAACCTAAATCTTGCTGCGTGACAGTATGATATAATTAAATAATCATATCTGTGTAAACCCTGTGCTCCATATACAAAACATCTCAAAATATCATATTCTCAATGTCGCACCATTCCTATATTGCTTCTCGTATTAAGCATGCGTTATTGCAACATATCCACTGTGCATCTAATATCAACAACCAGTGTCCCAATATTATGATATCACAATCCTTGGTGAACCGTCCCTTTAAGACTTCAGTGCTCCAAGTGCTTATGTGCAATCACTCTACTGCGTATATTCATCCAGTGATTCCGTGTGACCCCCCCAGTGCTTTATCCACCTCCGACACACTTATGTGCTCACCTTATGGATTGACCCGAACAGTTAGGTCAAACCGTGCCTTTTCCTTTAACCCGGGCGGGTATGCTGGTATATAGATCTCCAACTCCTCTTGCACCTCCAAACTCCAAAACGCACCACAGATAAATGAAAAAATGCTCCAAATAGTGAAGTATATCAAAAATGTATATGCTTTATTAAAACACTTAAAATATTCAACTCACATTCATTTATGTCCGCCTGGGACACTACAGGATCAAGGACTCTTTATATATTACTTTTTGTGAATGAACTGCATGGATCCCTTATTCAAGATGGTGGTACGTACACTCCCGGTTCTACGGCTTGACGTCATCGGCGTACCCTACGCATTACATCACGACATGTGTCTTCATCAGGAGTAGCCGATTGGATAACAAGCCTTCCCTTTTATACTATTCACTTTTCACTGATTACAATCTGTATCACTTGTATCGATGCCATTTTGTTGGAGACCGTCACATGGTCTTGGGCGCCATTTTCTTGTAGTCCTATACTAAAGCATATGCCACTGCTTGTCCTTACATGACAACAGACACAGGGGGATCCTGTTCTCTATGATACCTACTAAAAAACTAAAAAATATTACTATAAAATAACATGATTGATATGATATGTTAAAATCTAAATCTTGGGCTAATACATATCTTTTTGAAATTACTGCATAATAATATACTGCTCACTGTTGCCCTCTATTGGATAAATTATTTTGGACAGTAGGGGACCATATAAACTCCTTGCTACAATTGCTATCGTGTCATACATGTTGATCACCTATCTACAATATACAAAGTATATATTAATAAATATATCTGGGATATATCTAATAATGATTTGTAAATCCACTCATAATACTGGATAATAGAATATATAATTAGGGATACATACCCAACCAACCCCTACCAATAATCAGTGTTTATGACACTTATGTATCTCTCCGAGTATCTTTTGTAAAAAAAATTATGGATTCTTTGCCTGCCCTCAACCTCTTGGGACATGTCTTGTGTCCCAGGAGGCTGCGGACCAGTGTGTGAAAGCGCAGCATGATCTCATGCATGCACATTGGGGATTCACAGCCAGCTGGCTACATCCAAGATGGTGGTGCCCAGTCCAGGTGAAGACAGCTGAATCCGCTGAATGGACCCCTTTAAGGCATCCACAGCAAAACAAAGAGCCCTAGGGAAATCTGTCAAATCCTCACCTAGGTCAGCCTCAGTACCTGCTGAGCCTAACTTCCTGGACAGACTTTTTACACCAATCCTAAGGCTCTGGCAGACTCCAGTAGCCGCAACCACCGACTGCAGTGCAGCATTCACCCCAGGCAAAAGATGCCTTGAGAAAAGTTTCCAAACATTTGTCAGCTGCATCTTTAAAGACTAAAACAAGCCATACATGAATTGGAATTCAAAATTCCATCCATGCATGGACAGGCTGATTGCACCCCTGTCAATTGATGGGTCAACTTGGGTACAACCAGCCTGAAAGAATTTTTTCATTGGATTATTTATTGCCTATGGCTATAGCTATGAGCAGTAATCATCCTGCTCTGCTGCTTTTGTCATCTTTGGACTGCTTCATTTTCCCTTCTGAACATGTTACATTTTAGACCCATATTTATGGTGTAACATTTTCAACCCCTCTCCCACACCTGCTGTCACATTTTGGAAATCGTGCAGCTGTACCTACACAACCGCATCATTCATTCACAGGAATCTGTGAATAAAGAAACTACAAGTTCTATCTTCTACCACGGCAGACGGATTTGTAGTTTGAATGGGCTGCGAGCATGATGAGCAGCATGTTCATAGTCCATTCACATTCCCTCCAGGCTGCAAATTGACAGCCCATACAGAGGGGAGAGTGTGTTGGAGCCTGAAATTGCCCCAGTGATCCACTGATCGGGGATGCAAAACTTTGCAGGCTCCTGTTTAAATATAAATATTAAATTCACATTTTGTGACCTGCAAAAATATGTGCATTTATTTATTTGTAAAGGCGAACTTACAGGGCTTATGCTCATCATGGCCCTTCCATGGTCTACTCTGCAGGTTTGAACCTCTTCAGGATCTGCCTCACGTAAGGATTGTCCGCCATAGATTGCCTTGCTGTGAAAACTTGAGATTGAGATGAAGGCATGTTATCTAATTTACGTTCAGATCCTGAAGGAAATGTATTGGAAGTGGCTGTAAAAGTTGGCTGTTTTTTCTGCTGAGTGCAGCTACTCAATTTAGCAGAAATCCACTTCAGAAAATGCTGGGTACTGGCATAGATACCTGGACGTTGTTTGCGGGCACAACCAGAACCCCAGCTTGTGACACCTGCCACAAAGTACTTTGAAGTTGTTTTATCCAAACACATGAGTGGTCCTCCGCTGTCTCCCTGTAATGGAATCAAAGATAAAAAGAATGTTAGTCTAATATTTACAAAAGAATAATAAGTACCAGAATGTGATAAGAGACCCCATAATGTCTTGAGGAGAACTCGAGTAAATGTGCTTGTTATTTTGCTTCTTTTGCCCCTGGTTCCCCATCCTAGAGAATACTACTCCCGGACTTTTTTCCCTTGGCCCTTATGTCATCCAAGATACTGCAAAGACTGTGGGAGCACATGGCGTGAGGTTTCCCCTGGCTGCTGCCATGACTTTAGCTGACATCAATGCAGGGGAGGTAGAGCAGCCGCAAGTCTGCTGGACATAGAACCTGCCAGAAATGTCAGTGAGGAATAAAGGGAAAGGTTCTATTTGCAGCACAGTGGGGGCAAGGAGGGGGCAACAAAAGTAGCCTGAGTATTTCTGTTAGTTAATTTACTTTGGCGTGTTTATCTCATGCATTGAGTGGTGAAAGGGTCCCTTTAAAAAGTCTTTCGTGGTCAAACGGATAACTGAAGAACAATAGAAAAAGTAGCTAACTTTGGAAATATAAGTGGCGCTATGAGCAAAGTTCTTGTGAAAATGCTAGTTCCCTGGATGTATCTGGTTTCAATTGCGGAGTCACAGCTCCATAAGCATACAGCAATTTAAAATTGAAAAAAGTTAGAATTGCTCATCTCTATGATGATTTCATGTCAGTGACTCAGGAGGCATCAAAGCCTGTGAATTAGCATTAAAGTAGTAGCATTTTCAGGAAAGGGCAACAATGGACGTCTATATCCTTTTCCCATGACATGCTTCCTTTAGGGCTAGATCATACCATGGTACAGAGACGTCAATTTTTCTGCATGCATTCTGCAAGGGTACAACTAAATCAATTGTTCTCCATGTGCACTGTTCACACCACAACACTAGTATCACGTGCAGATTTTTTCTGCACAGGAATCTGCAACATGTATAAAACTAATTGAAACGCACTTGAAAACTGATGTAAACTGATGTCTCTGCAAGTGAAATCTGACTGTCAGTTTCCATCTGTTTTTCTACACACATGGTGTGGACAAGGCCTAAAAGTGGTAGTAATCCGGCCCCTCTGCAGGTTTAAGTCATAATGTACTAGTATGCACCGCATACTAGCACTTTATGACAGACTTACCTGCACACAGAGCCCTCTGGCTGTATGAATGGCCTGGGCCGTGATGACGTCATTCCCGCCCACACTATATGCCCTGAATGCAGAGCGTCAGTCTGAATGGGCAGGTGAAGTTATTGGCTAATGCTGATGTGAATATCTCCTAAATGGTATACGTTTAGGAGATATTCATTGTACCTATAGGCAAAGCTTGATAATAAGCTTACCTGTAGGTACAAGTTAAAGAATAGCGTTTACTTCCACTTTAACCCCTCAACGCCGGCACTTCCCGGCCCTTTAAGAGGTTTCTGATACCAGGGGGCGGGGATTCTGATCAAGTGACCGCCATAATTGGCTGTCATAGCGGTTACATGATTGGAAAGCTTCCGATCACAAGTAGAGACTGGGAGCTTTCCATTAGCCACCAGTAACTCTGCTGGGAGCGCTCAGGACGGGCACTCTCGGCACAGCTCTGATAACATTCTGGTACGGATATATGCAGCCTCTTGGTGTTAAGGCCCAGCTGCCGAGAGGCCTGATTATATGCGTACCACCGGCAGGAATAGGTTAATCACTTTGTGCTATTTTAACATAGCCTTTTTTGCATCTATAAGCTGCTATTTCTTATTAAAATCTATATATCGCAAGGAGACGATATGCTTTCATACAGTATATACGAATACTGAAAATAGGATGAATGTATATAATGTCCCCATGTACAAGACAAGCATTGTTAATTGTTTGAAAAAAATGGATGTAATCTTTTGAAACTTACTTGGCAAGAGTCCACTCCACCTCTTTGATATCCAGCGCACAGGTTTTGTGCATGGATGCGGCCATTGTACCAGCCTGGGCTGTTACAGGTTTCAAGGTCAATTAAGTTCACTTTGGCTTCCCGCAGTAAATCCGCTGTTGCGGCACCTGTAAAAAAAGATAATGAAAATTAATTAAATATGCAAACTATACAGCCATATGTGAGATATGAGAAGTACTATAATGGACATGATATAAGCCTTGTAATGCCAGCATAACAAAAAACAGACACCAGGAAGTGGCTATATGTAGTTTTTTTTTTCCCCCCAGTGTTCTCCTTGGTGTCCACCAACTGGCAGTGATCAGCTCCAAATCTGTAGCTTTAGCAGACACTCACCCCCACTCCATCATCTTTCAGTACCCTTGTGCTTTTTAGAGATGGAGTGGAAATACTGATTTGCACTTGAGAGGAAATGTAGGACCCCAAAATGGCTCTTCTTGGTGCCTTCTTTTACATTGTTATGTTTTGCAAGGATAATACCAGGACAAGTTCATTAAGAAGTTTAGGACTGCAGACGAAACTTACCATTCTCAGACAAATGTCCCCAGCCACTTATGTAGCATGTGCTCATGCTGTAGATGTCCATGGTGCTGCTGGGTAAACATGCTGGCTGAACGAAGTCATTGTACACTACTGGCGAGTTGAGCTGTATGAGGGCAATATCATTGATCTTTAATTTGCTGTCGTATCTTTTGTGCAGAATATAAGCCTTGACAGATCTTATCTGCACTTCCTTGTCAAGTTGTGATAGTTTGTTAGCTCCTATCACAATTCTCCATTTGGCCACAAAGCTGTAAAGTAAAAAAAAAAAAATGTTAAAAAGGACTGCAAGAAGATGGCAGCACAAGCACAAACATTCTAACACGCTGAACAGACTGCTATATGTCTAGAGATGAATACGATATATATATTTTTCTTAAAAGGAAAAGTACACTAGCCACTTAGCCTGTCCTGGCAGAGAAAAATCCCAACTTTAAAGTCGGAACCTGGCTCGGCCTCTCAGCAAATTACTGGGAGCCCCAGCTTCTCCCTCCCCCTCGTGGGGGGGGGGGTGGATAGGTGGTGGCAGAGCAAAGAGCGGAGACAGAGAGTTACCAGCTCATGGAGCACTGAGAACTGAGCGATCAGCACTGTTTGCTCAGTTCTCAGCCTTAGAGCCAACGAGGGACAGATGCAGCATCGAACTGGTGCTCCATCCACCTAAGTATATTTTCTAGAAGAAAAAAAACTTCTCTTTTAATTATTGAGAAGAGGACCAGAAGAGATAACCTTACCTTAAATCACCAAAGCAGTGTGCAGCAGTCAACACCCATTGGTCTTTTATTAGGGTTCCTCCACAAAAGTGGCTATATCCATTTAAATCCGGACTCTGTATGCTGACCATCCATGGCCAGGAACCTTTCCGGGCAATAACTCCTCCTACAATCCGTGAATCATACGATCTAATATTGCGTGTACCACAACCTAAAATAAAAGAACAAAGACATAAATCATATAGACTTTTCACTGATTGAATACAATGCACATCAATAAAAAATATATAGATATTAAATATACAAAGTTTTATTTTTAATTGTAACTTATTAACCTGGAACAAATTATGTCCAACTATTTAAATACCGACTAACATTTTCTTATTAATTTTGCTATTTCTTAATATGAAAGGGGGGAATTTGACTTAAGATATGCACTGATCTTGTGGATTTGTATTTATTTCAACAGTGCTAACAAATTCCACAGCTTTTTACAGTGAATGCAGAACTGGTAATGTTAGTTTCAGCCCCCAAAACAGCAATTGTACTAAAGCCTGATTGAATACTCCTTTTCTTGTAATGCACTCAGTAGTAACAGATCAGGGGGGCTTTTTTATTTTTTTAAATACTATTGTACTGCAACTAGGGTTAAAAAGGCTGTGTGCTTTCAACAAGCTAGAGAGCTGGGCCCCTGCCCAACATATATCTATATGGGCAAACCTTCTTGAATATATGTGTTTGTGAGATCTATCTATCTAAGTCTGTAATCCCAGTTCATGTAGTCTGTCACATTGATGCATAATGTCCCCTTACTATATACTGTATATATGATTTGAGTTATCAAGACAATGATGGCCTGATTAACTAGGCACGAAGTGCAAATAAATCCTATTAGCATTTTACTACTTACTTTTAATTTTAGTATGGGTACAGTTTAAAGGAGAAGTATAGCCAAAGCTTTTTTGTCCATAATCCTCCTATGGGTCACAGGAGTGCGCTTAGTTCTGCACTCCTGTGACCCAGATTCAGCCATCATTAGGCTAAAGTCTGCTGTCTGTTGACGTTACGGAGCCACTCCAGGCTCTGTAGGGATCCCAACAATAATGTTGGGATCTGTCCAGATGCCGATCAGCAGCTAGCTCAGCCTCTCAGTGTGCTCCTGAGAGCCTGAGCCAGCCGCTTCCACGCCCTCCATAGCCTGGCGCTCCACTGACCATCACTGCTCTGTGCTTAGAACAGACCAGAGAACTGAGGGATCAGCGATGTTTGATCACTCAGTTCTTGGTGTAGAGCCGGCAGGAGACAGATGCAGAATTGGATTGATGCTGCAACCAGCTAGGTGAGTATGTAGGTTTGTTCTCATTTGCCGCTCTTCTCTTTTAGGGTCCATGCACACTAGGAGCAGAAAAATGCCGGAACCTCTGGCAGAAAGAGCAGCATAAAATGCTCAATGGCTCGTATTGCACAAGAGTTTAGGAGAGTTTATGTGCATTTGCTTTTTAAGCTTTTTTTTCCCCCCAAAACATTCACCTCTGCTTATTTTTCAGTGTACATTTCAAAATGCAGAATGCTTCTAAACACCGCATTTATACGCGTTCATGAACCTAACAACCGATCTCCACTTCTCCCACCACTCCATCCCCTACAGCCACTTCCTCCTGTACCACTTCCCTTCCCTCCTAGATTGTAAGCTCGAAAGAGCAGGGCCCTCGAACCCCTCGTGTATTGTACTGTTACTGTTTGTCTCATGTTCTGTCCCCCTTGCTATTGTACAGCGCTGAGCAAACCATTTGGCGCTATATAAATACTGTATAATAATAATAAAGAGTGTTATGCTATGTGTCCATGCACACTGTTTTTAGCCTACTAGCGTTTTTCAAGCTTCAGAGTTTAGGCAAAGAAAAAAATTATTTTTGTTGAGTTTTTGGGAGCGTTTTTCCAGCAGAAAAAAACAGTGAACGCTCCTAAACACTTTGAAACGCTCATAGATGCTACTAAAATGATCCTAACAGCTTTTTTTATTTTTACATATACTGTAAAAACACTAATAACATGCTAATGCTCCTAAACGCTTCTAAACACTACTAAAACATGCCATTACCAGAGGTTTTTATCCAGTGTTTTGTTTTTTTAGCTTAATAAAACGCTAGTGTACATGGAGCCTGAATGTGTAAAAAAAATGTAAATGCCACACCACCCCTGTGCTTTTGTTTAAAGGTAAACACACACATCTGTCCCACGCGCATGCATACAAACAGCTATTGGCCCACACGTGAGGTATCACCACGAACTTCAGATCATGGGCAGTAATAGCACCACACCTCCTCTGGAAATCTAAAGTGGTAACCTGTAAAGGATTTTAAAGCATTGCCTATGGATAGTAAAATTTACGTTGTTTGTCACCATTGTATGAGTGTGCACAATTAATATGTGACATTTTGCTGTTTTATTTACATCATCTTTTATATTTTACAAAAAATGTGGGTTGTCTATTGTTTTTTTTTTGTATTACAATTCAAAAAAGTGTATTTTTTATTCTCAAAAAATTGCATTTTAAAAACTGCTGCACAAATACCATGTTACATAAACAAATCGCAAAACCCACCAATTTTATTCTCTACGGCCTCTGTTTTAAAAGAATATATAAAGTTTGGGGATTGTAAGTAATTTTCTAGCCAAAAAAAAAAGATTGTTAAAGTGTTATTAAACCCTGCATTCACTATATCTCGTCTCCCACAGTACACAGAACATGGAAGTGTAATTACGTTGGTAAATATACCTTTTCTCATCAGCAGTTACAGCAGTCTTGTGACTTCTGACAGTGTCCAGCAGAGCACTGGATAAAGCTTGGAGGAGGCTTTTCATTTTGCTCTGACTGTCTTATAAGGCTGCATAACCCCTGTCCCTCTGTTTGAACAGTGCTGATTGGATTTGGGCCGATCACATGTACCTTCCCAAAGGAAAATACAATGCACATTAAACTGAGCATGTGCAGAGTGACTCCTAGAGCTCTGTACTATCAGCAGATGGATTGGGGACAGTAGAAGGGGAGGATCAAAGAAAACGGGATCAAACATCCTTTTTACACAATGCAGAGGATTAATCCTTTAGGTTCCACAGTTAGTACAGTATAACAAGCATGCTTTACTGTATATACAGACTGATTTTACTGTTGTGGGTTTAGTAACACTTTAAATGTAAACAAAAAATGCCAGAAAAAGCCTAATGCTTAAGTAGTTTTTGAAAACCGTATGAAAGATTTGGGACCCCTGTCAGGTTTTTACTGCTATCTGGTGCTCCATTAACTCTCCTACTGCCCCTGCTATAGATACTACGGTGGTAGAATGTAAGAAAACTCATGCCCACAATAGCTATGGGGTTCAGCTCTACTAAACTCTTATGGCCCTGGCCGGATAAACAAGCAGGTTGAGCACTGATTGAGTTCAGTGTCCTTGGGGCGAGTACGAGGGTGACATTAGGGGTGTAATAAAATCTGTCATCAGCCTAATGTTATCACATAGAGGACTTGTCAGCCCCCTTGTGATAGCAAGTTAAGTTTAAAATACATGAAAAAGTTAAATCCTACTCCAAGGAGCAGGGCCCTCAAATCCCTCTTGTATTGAACTGTATTGTTGCTGTATTGTCTCCCGTTATATTGTAAAGCGCTGAGCAAACTGTTGGCGCTATATAAATCCTGTATAATAATAATAATACAAATACTGACATGTACATCAGGCGCTCACAAGTATGTTGGTGACAATTGTACTACCCATATTAATTTATTTACACCTATATAAATGAGTATATTATGAATAAAAATGAATCAATATAACAAACTCAAAAAAAAACAAATAAATGAACTGAGTAAATGAGCTCATAATAATCATACTGAAAGAAACAATATATATAAAAGACACTATTCATAAAATAGACTGCAATTGTCCAGGTCTACCACTAGATGTCACCCACTAAATGCAGTTGGGAATATGATGGGAAAACATTTATAAGAGAGTCCTATCAGTAGTAGGACACACTTTCCACTTACTACTGCGTGTAGTACCGCCATGCTAGCACCCCTTTATATATCTGTAAGATTAAAAGTTCCGGTTTGCCTGAAACGCCCCTCGTATATTATCAGTTACAGAACCTTGACCATTGCAGTCTATTATATGGACTGTGTATAATGTTCACATGATTAAGATATTATTATGATGATGACTTTTATTTCATTTTACTGAATTCATTATATTCATTTTTATGAATGTAAATATATGTTCATATATTTTATATATATATATATATCTATGGCTTGTCATGTACAGTATTTTGTCATGTACATCATTGATTCATTTAGCAAATGTATTATGTAATTCAATAACAATGTTGTTGTTTTATTGTTGTCATTCTGCACTTTGAGTAAAGCTGGCCATATGCCATAATAATTTCACTCAAATATGTTAATTTTTGGAACGTTCATTCGATTTTCAAGTGAGGTCAAATTAAAGATTGTTTTCTATCATAGTGTTGAGGAAATTCAAAAGAGTAGGATGGAAAATGTTTCTTAAACAAAATTTTAACTGTAACCATGGTAATGCGCATTTTCTAGGAACAAAAAAAAAACGATTTATTGTGTCTGGGATCACATACAAGTAGTTGGTCTGGATGAAATACCGTATTTTTCGTTCCATAAGACGCACTTTTTTCCCCCAAAAAAAACGGAGGAAAATGTCAGTGCGTCTTATGGAGCGACTAAAAAGCGTCCGGTCCAGTAATTCTGCCGCCACCATGTCAGAATACCGGGCCGGCCGCTCAGCTTTTCTCTCCTGCAGGACCTTACCTGTTCCTCGCTGTACAGTCTTCCCGCGCTGGCTTCTGTGACAGCCGGGTGCCCACGGCGCATGCGCGAGAAGCGCTGCGCTTTGTGAATGGTCCAGCGTCTTCTGGGACACATGACGGGTCCCAGAAGGCTCCGGGCCTTTCACAAAGCGCAGCTCATGTACTATGTCCGCAGTCTCTGGTCATCTCCTGTACTATGTCTGCAGTCTCTGGTCATCTCCTGTACTGTGTCGGCAGTCTCTGGTCATCTCCTGTACTGTGTCCGCAGTCTCTGGTCATCCCCTGTGCTGTGTCCGCAGTCTCTGGTCATCCCCTGTACTGTGTCCGCAGCCCCTGTCATCTCCTGTACTATGTCCGCAGTCTCTGGTCATCTCCTGTGCTATGTCCACAGTCTCTGGTCATCTCCTGTGCTGTGTCCGCAGTCTCTGGTCATCCCCTGTGCTGTGTCCGCAGTCTCTGGTCATCTCCTGTGCTGTGTCCGCAGTCTCTGGTCATCCCCTGTGCTGTGTCCGCAGTCTCTGGTCATCTCCTGTGCTGTGTCCGCAGTCTCTGGTCATCCCCTGTGCTGTGTCCGCAGTCTCTGGTAATCTCCTGTACTGTGTCCGCAATCTCTGGTCATCTCCTGTGCTGTGTCCGCAGTCTCTGGTCATCCCCTGTGCTGTGTCCGCAGTCTCTGGTCATCTCCTGTACTGTGTCCGCAGCCTCTGGTCATCCCCTGTACTGTGTCCGCAGTCTCTGGTCATCTCCTGCCTGTACTGTGTCCGCAATCTCTGGTCATCTCCTGTACTGTGTCCGCAGTCTCTGGTCATCTCCTGTACTGTGTCCGCAGCCTCTGGTCATCTCCTGTACTGTGTCCGCAGCCTCTGGTCATCTCCTGTACTGTGTCCGCAGCCTCTGGTCATCTCCTGTACTGTGTCCGCAGTCTCTGGTCATCTCCTGTACTGTGTCCGCAGTCTCTTGTCATCTCCTGTACTGTGTCCGCAGTCTCTGGTCATCTCCTGTACTATGTCCGCAGTCTCTGGTCATCTCCTGTACTGTGTCCGCAGTCTCTGGTCATCCCCTGTACTGTGTCCGCAGTCTCTGGTCATCTCCTGTGCTGTGTCCACAGTCTCTGGTCATCTCCTGTGCTGTGTCCGCAGCCTCTGGTCATCTCCTGTACTATGTCCGCAGTCTCTGGTAATCTCCTGTACTGTGTTCCCAATCTCAGGTCATCTCCTGTACTGTGTCCGCAGTCTCTGGTCATCTCCTGTACTATGTCTGCAGTCTCTGGTCATCTCCTGTACTATGTCCGCAGTCTCTGGTCATCTCCTGTACTATGTCTGCAGTCTCTGGTCATCTCCTGTACTATGTCTGCAGTCTCTGGTCATCTCCTGTACTATGTCCGCAGTCTCTGGTCATCCCCTGTATTGTATCCGCAGTCTCTGGTCATCTCCTGTACTGTGTCTGCAGTCCATTGGTTCAGAATATTTTTTTTTCTTGTTTTTCTTCTCTAAAACCTAGGCACGTCTTATGGTCAGGTGCGTCTTATGGAGCAAAAAGTACGGTATGTCTAAACAAAATATTTTTACCACATTAACCACTTCAATACCGGGCACTTTCACCTTCTTCCTGCCCAGGCCAATTTTCAGCTTTCTGGTCTGTCACACTTTGACATTTTCGTGGTCATACAACAGTTTACCCGTATTAAATTTTTATCATTTTTTTTTTTTTTCAAACGGAGCTTTTGGTGGTATTTAATCACCACTGGCTTTTTTATTTTTTGCTAAATAAATGAAAAAAGATAAAAAATTTGGAAAAAATGCATGTTTATTTTAGTTATAAAATTTGCAAATAAATAATCTTTCTTCATAAATTTAGGCCAAATTGTATTCTGCTGCATGCATTTCTTTTGTGAAAATAATCCAAGTCAGTATATAATATTTAGTTTGTAGGAAAGTTGAAGAGTCCACATACATACTGTTACCAGCACAGTACAACATAATTATATAACTATAAACATAGATAAATGATGTAGCGCTTATACATAAACGTATATAAAATAATATAGTGACCCCCAAGTGAGATTACTGTGTACTAGTTCCCACATGGGCCTTATATAGTGAAGCAATCAACATGTGCAGGGGGCAAGACAAGCTCTTTTATCCACATAAGGCAAAAATAGATGCGTGACACTTTTAGTCCTCAATATAGGACTTAAATATATAATTAATGTGGAGTTAATACAAAGTGTGAAAACACTACAAACAATACACACATGAGGAAAAAAGTCCAGTGATCTGTGTCACATTCCTTTTGTTCATGCAAATCAAAGGAATGTGTGTGAACCCACACACCCTTGAATGTGATCCAATAAAGGCTGAAATGGCCTCTCACCTCCTTCCTGCGACCCTGCAGGGCCACAGAGCATTTAGTATACCACCACTGGGTCTAGGAAGAACTCCTCACGATTATATGGCTTGAGAATGTTTCCCCAGAACACAGCTTCTACCTCTCCTATGGTATTCTTGCGGGCCAATGAGCAAGCATGAGCAGTATTTTTTTATTAACACACTGTGACCCTTAAGAAGTGATCAGGATTTTATTTTTTTTTTACACATTATGATTGCTTTTACCAGTGAATTTTCTGTAATAAGCAACCATTTTTACTGAATTAAATGAATTCATTCAGTGTTTACTATTGCGGTTAGCTGTGATTGGGCCACGTCTGCGCCATGTGATCACTGTGATCAATCACAGAAATCAACACAATAGATGGCATAAATAAATCCATCCATTGAGTACAATTTTCATGTGATCTGCTGTGAGTGATTGGTCACAGCGATTACATAGTACCAGCAGCAGTTGGTATACTGATCGGTCATCCGCTGTGCCTTGTGGACACAGCTGGTGACAGATTGCACTGCTGTAAGACCCATGGGGTGTGTTTCGGGAGGACATCATATGATGTCCTCCTAGAATGGTGAATGTCACACCCGGCTGTCATTTGTCTATAAGCCGGGCAGGAACTGGTTAAAGCTTAATGAGTTTTAGTTAATAAAAAGGCAAGCAAAATATTTTCAGGAAAAATATATTATAAAATAGACTATAACAAGAGTAAAACAAATCTGAATATAGATGAGAGGAGTAACTAACAAGGTTTAGCCAATGAAATGGGTGATATTTACTAGAACTAGAGTGTGCAATCTGGAGCAGCTGTGCATGGTAGTCAATCAGCTTCTAATTTCAGCTTGTTCACTTAAGCTTTAGAAAGAAAAACCTGGAAGTTGGTTTCTCTGCAGAGCTGCACCAGATCTTGCACTCTCCAGTTTAAGTAAATCAACCCCAGTGTAGTATAAGTTTAGTTCTGACAGAGTCACTGGTCCTCACAGGGATTCTCAGTATGGAAGCGTCATTTCGATGGAAAATTGTGAGAGGTCGAGCTCCAGATTCAGCCATCTTTTCTGGTCAATAAAGTGCTATAAGTTTTTATGATACATACTGATCCATGGTCTGTTTATGAGGTCTGTAGGAAGTGGCTGGAAAGGCTGAAGGAATATTTAAAGGTTGGAAAGAAATACTCAGACCCTTGATACCATTCTGAGGGTAACTATGAACTTCCTCTAGTGGTATGCAGTGGATTGACTCCTAAGGCTGAGGGATTTTTTCTTTTTCACGGTTGTGGTGGCACGTTTATTTTTTATGTGCATGAAACACGTGTGGCACGGTTGTTTAGATACCCCTTTTCTTTGAAGATATCACACATGTTGAGTTCTTTTCTTTGAGGTATATGAAGATCTGGTTTGAAGTATATCACAAAGATTTTGGAAGATATGAAGAATTAAGATATCACAGATAAAGATTTTGAAATAATAATTTGGGACTTTATTTTGGACTTTTTTTTTGTTCTTTTTGTTTTTTTGGGATGTTTTTTTTTTGTTTTATATTCTTTTGGGGTTTGGATTTTATGTTTATACACTAATATTGATTAGAGGGTAATCAAGTTTACTATATTTTTGATGTTATTTGTACTTCAGGGGAAGGATTGTGTTAGTAACTTGGTGGGGATTCTATTCTGTGAAAGGATAGTGCTATTTGTTGAATATTGTTGCTGTATTGTCTCCTTTTATATTGTAAAGCGCTGAGCAAACTGTTGGCGCTATATAAATCCTGTATAATAATAATAATAACAGTATTTATAGAGCTTGTGTATATCTGAGTATATCAAAGTATAGCCCAGGTTTGGGGCATGTTTCTATTAAAAGCTGGATATTTTTAAAAAAGAAATATATCCTGAGTCTTCTTTTTTTATTGGTAGTCTGCAATTACAACAAACATTTGTTTAAATCCCCCACTTACAAAAACCATACATTTGTGTTTGCTAAAACATGTAATAGGGTGGGGCCATAATAATACAACACAGTATACAGATAGAAAAGTATCAATATACACTATATTGCCAAAAGTATTGGGACGCCTGCCTTTACACACACATGAACTTTAACGGCATCCCAGTCTTATTCTGTAGGGTCCAATATTGAGTTGGTCCACCCTTTGCAGCTATAACAGCTTCAACTCTTCTGAGAAGGCTGTCCACAAGGTTTAGGAGTGTGTCTATGGGAATGTTTGACCATTCTTCCTGAAGCACATTTGTGAGGTCAGGCACTGATGTCAGACGAGAAGGCCTGGCTCACAGTCTCCACTCGAATTCATCCCAAATGTGTTTTATCGGGTTGAGGTCAGGACTCTGCAGGCCAGTCAAGTTCCTCCACCCCAAACTCCCTCATCCATGTCTTTATGGACCTTGCTTTGTGCACTGGTGTGCAGTCATGTTGGAACAGGAAGGGGCCATCCCCAGACTGTTCCCACAAAGTTGGGGTATTAAATTGTCATAATGTTTTGGTATGCTGAGGCCTTAAGAGTTCCCTTCACTGGAACTAAGAGGCCAAACCCAAACTTTATAATTTGGCACAGTGCAGTCAGGCAAGTACCATTCTGGCAACATCCATACACGTCCATCGGATTGCCAGAGAAGCATGATTCGTCACTCCAAAGAACGTTTCAATTGTTCTAGAGTCCTGTGGCGGCGTGCTTTACACCACTACATCCGACACTTTGCATTGGACTTGATGTAAGGCTTGGATGCAGCTGCTCGGCCATGGAAACCCATCCCATGAAGCTCTCTATGCAGTGTTGTGCTAATCTGAAGGCCACACAAAGTTTGGAGGTCTTTAGCTATTGACTCTGCAGACAGTTGGCGACTTCTGCACACTTTGTGCTTCAGCATGTGCTGACACCACTCTGTCATTTTAACTGGCCTACCACTTCGTGGCTGAGTTGCTGTTCCCAGTTGCTTCCACTTTGTTACATTACCACTAACAGTTGACCGTGGAATATTTAGTAGCAAGGAAATTTCACAGATGGACTTATTGCACAGGTGGCAACCTATCACGGTACCACAATTCACTGAGCTCCTGAGAGCGACCCATTCTTTCACAAAATGTTTGTAGAAGCAGTCTGCATGCCTAGGTACTTGATTGTATACACCTGCTGTGGCCATGGAGGTGATTGGAACACCTGAATCCAATGATTTGGATGAGTGTCCCAATACTTTTGGCAATATAGTGTAAGGCCGGCCATAGATGGGTT